GCCCTGCCCTCTGCCCCTTCCATCCACCCGAATGACAGGGCTTGTTTGGACACGCCGCAGCGGCCCTTCGGGGTTGGCCTTGGCGGGGCGTGGTCTCTGAGTGGGGGTGGGGCTTAGCGGCCCGGGTACCCGCCCGGAGCGCCAGGGATCTTCCCCATCCAGCGCCGAGCTCGCCGCAGGCCCCAGTGCCACCGGAGCTCGGGCACAGATGGCTGCCTTCCCGCGGTTCTCCCGCTCCGCTCCGCCGAAGTCTGCCATCATGGGGTTGGGTGGCCATCCCAGAGGGCCTACGCCCACAAGTCTGTGTCCAGCTTCTGTATCTCCCCTGGTCCCTCCTCCCTGCTGTGCAGGATCCAGCCGTGTGACCTCCCGCAACACCACGCGAGGGGCTTCCTCTTCTCAAACTGCCCCCCTTAGCAGTCTTAGCGAGCTTCAGCCTCCAGCGCCCTGCACTCCCCTCCCCGCAGCCTCCCCTAAGGGATCATCCTGAAGGTGGGGAGCCACCTCTCGGGCTTGCTGAATGGTCTCCCCGGAGCCACACGCCCCACCCCAGCCCACCTGTGTGCCTCGCAGGAAGCTGCAGACAGACAGACAGACAAATCAGCTCCCAAGAGCAGCCCGACTGAAACCGCACCCACTAAACTGTAGCAGCTGGTGTTCCAGGTACCCGAGTCGGCCTGGGCCACTGTCTGTGCCTCTTCTCTTGTCCTCCTCCTCGCCCTTCCTCTCTTCTCCAGTGGCAGTCTCTCTCTCTCTGTGGACCTCTTCTCTCCCCCCCCATCTTCTTCGGGGTGACCTGACCTGCTCAGAGTAGCCGGCGGCGGCATCTCCGAGTGTCCCCCGAGCCGCACCCTCCCTCTCTCTCGCTGGTTTCGTCCTTGGTCACTTCTTGGTGTAGCCGCCCGCCCGTGGAGGGGAGCAATGGCCCCGAGGAGACTGGGTGGCGGGTAGGCAGGGTGGAGGAGGTCGCCCAGCACTCTTCCTGGTCCTCCTGCAGGGACCCTCGCTCCCCTCTGCCCTCTGGTACCGGGGAGTGCAAGCCTCTCCTCCCACCCTCAGCACCCCTGTGGCTGCGGGTGGGAGGAGCAGGGGAGTGAGTGGTCCAGGAGGAGCAAGGGCCCGCGCGGCTCGGAGCTGCGCCCCCAGTGAGAGCCTGTGTGCAGGAGGTGGTGCGCCGTCGCAGCCCAGCCCTGTCGTCTGTGCTTTGTCCTGCGCGCTCATCTGCTTTGGCCCATCGTCCGTTGTTTCTCTGTCTCCTCTCCTCCCCTCAACCCATTCTCGGCTGCCTGTCGGTTCTCTGCTCCCTGCCTCCTCCCTTCCTTCCCTCTGGGTGTGCGGGGTGGTTCCCAGAGCTGGTGCTGATAACCGCTTTGTTTCTGATTGATCTCAGCTATCTGGGCAGTGTTGTCGAGACAAGCCTCTCCTCAGCTCAATAGGTAAGGGAGCTCCCTCGCGGCTGGGGCCGGGATGGGGGTGGGTGGACGGACAGATGGATGGGGCTTCGCCAGGGCCATTGCTTCCTCTAAAGGGGCATGAGGGGCCAGCCATGCCATCTTCCCCCTCGCTCCTTCTGTAGGGTGGCAGCCTTGGACGCACGAGTAGCCAGGCTTTTGGGTCCCTCACAGAGTACTGCTTCCACAGCGGACCGGGCCTCGCTTTGTCACTGCCTGCCTGCAGCCCGGGACACGCCCCCACCCCATCCACTCCCATCCCACCCCAAGCTCCTGTAGTTTTCCTTACTGGCTTCTGACAGAAGCCCCTGGGTTGCATGCACCCAAGGACGCAAGGTCTGCTCGGCATCTCTGTGTCCTTGGGGTAGGGACACCCCCACCCTTACTCCCCGCAGCCACCATGATGGTGCTCCTCTGCTCCTGAAGACCCGGGGTCACCCCCTGTGCTTCTGGCCCCCATTGTCTTCTTGGGATCTGAATCCTACTCAGTATCCCCCAGGTCCCTTAGGCTGGCCCTTGGCCCAGCTCTTCCTTCTGCAGTGGGTCTGTCCTCAGGACAGTTTCCCGCTGGGCACTGCCAGACCGAGGGCTGGGAGTAGGGGACATGTCCATGCTGTCCTAGAGGCCCCATTTTCTGTAGCCTGTTCGTAAGGGCTGCAAGGCTGAGGGGGTGTACCACCTTGCCCTCATGCTCACACTACTTCACTAGTCACCCCCACTGGCTGGGTCCCAGGCAAGCACTAGGGAAGGGTATTTTGACTAGCACTCCAGGGGAGGTAGGCAGACAGTCCCCTGGCGTAAGAGAAGCAGCAGAAATACCTAGAGATAGCGGAACAGCATCTGCTCTGCTGGGGTCGTGGCTCCACGAACCGGGACATTTTGAGGGGTGTCAGATTCTTAAAAAGGCGTGCCGTGTGACACTCAAAGGAGATGTCTCCAGAAGAGACTTCCTTTGTCACAGACTCTATTGCCCATGCTTCAGTGACATGTAATGTGAGTGCCAGCTGCTTGGTGGGACCAGAGGGCTCTCCTCTTGGCTGTCTGGCCTCCTTAGGTGAGAAGTATCTATATCTCTTTCCACCTAGAATCATGAAGGGAAGGTGATTATAACTCAGGTTTCAGTAAGAACTGCCTGCACTGGCTGCCTGGACATTTCTCAGGATGTGTGGCTAACATGTAGGCAGCAGCCAGGAGGGATGGAGTTGGGTATGAGGTTGGCTGAGAGCACCCAGCAGCATGGGCTCTGGAGACTGGGTGGGAAGGGTAGGAAGGGGTGCCAGCTCCCCTGCTTCAGGCCCTCCTGACGCCTTCAGGACAAGGGCACCCTCCTCTGCCCCTGTCTGCCCTCCTTGTGTCAAGTGATGGGCCCCTTGTGGACCTCAGAGGTGTGAGAGCTCATCTGAGCTCTCCAACCCCAGCCAGATTGCCCGGAGCCCCTTCTCGTTGACTACTTCTAGCCCACTCCCCTCCGCTCCCCTCCCCTCGTCTTAGTGTCCCCACTGTGCCTGATTTCAGGACACCAAGTTCTCCTAACACTGCTGTGGCGAACCCAGAAACCCTGGGCAGAGATGCGGAGCCATTGTTTCTTCCTGGGCCACCAACACCCCCAGCCTGGGAGAAAGGCGACAGGGTGACAGGGCCACCTGCCTGCCCGCTTGCTTGTGGAAGGAGCCCAGGGCATGGCAGCTGTGGGGTCCTCTGGAGAAGCTGTCTTCATGCTGCGTCTTTGCATGTCTCCACTTGGTCTTGCTTAGGGAGGCTGTGGCGCCTCTTGTCTACGTTGCGTTCTCTCTGTTTCTTCTTCCTTCTGTCTTTCCTCTTCCTTCTCCTGTAATTGTTCCCCTATCTCTCCTCTTTTCTCTTTTTTCTCTTCCCAGCCCCCATTTTTTTTCTCTTCCCAGCCCCCATTTCAGAATGGGGAGTTGTGCTGTGTGAACTAGTCATTGTCGTGGACTGCTGGGAGGCAGAGCCATTTTCTCAGCTCCCTGATACTAGTTGCACCCTGTTCCCACACCTTCAAATCATCCTCTTGCTCATACGTGCCGGGACCCCGAGCAATGCAGGTGGGCCTGAGGCATGCACATGGCCCCTTCGACTAGGGGAACCCCAGGGAGGTGCTCACGTTTGGAAGCCCACTTGGACTCCATTAGAAAGGTATCATCTCTGGGTGAAAGCTGGGCAGGTGCTGACCTCTGGACTCCTGGGTTTCCCTTTTGCCTCTTCCTCCCACGGGAGTGAGGTTCCTCTGTCCTGACCCACCCCACTTGGAGGTTTTCTTTCAGGTAACCAAGGAGGGGAGAAAAAGCCTCTCAACACCACAACTTCTGCCTGTTGGTGGAAGTACCTGGGAAGTGTATCATTGTGGTCAGCTTGCAGAGCATCAAGTGGGGGAGACTCTGGGTGGAATCTGACTTCTGTGTCCGGGGTGGGGGTGGGGCAGGCAGGGTTCCCTGCTCTGTGAACATGTATGTCTTTCTTCAGGTGCCCTGCTGAGCATATGAAGAGAAGGTGCTAAGAAAGAATAGTTTACCATTTTGAGATCTTTGTTTGTTTGTTTAATACAGGTTTCTCTGATTGTGTAGCAATACTTTTTGATTTATCCTCATATACTCATTTGAAATGAAAGAGAAATTGGCATAGTAAACCCAGGACAATTGCCAGTAGCAGTGGAAGCAACACTGCAGTGCCTCAGTTCGTGGGTGTTTTGTGCATTTTTCCAAACGTAAAGACCACACATAGCCCCGTCCTCACGTCTTTTTCCTGTATAGGTAGGGAGTTTTTTGGTGCTTCGAAGAGCCTTCACCTGCCATGTTTCTGTGTTTGAGTGGAGCTAGGATTGGAGGCGGGGGCAAGCAGGTGTCAGAGTGGCTGCAGCTGGACTGCTTCTCATGGGAGATGTTATTTTATCGCCGTCCCTGGACTATCACTTTGGGGGAATATTTACCCCGAGACGTAGCTTGAGCCTCCAGTCTGTTGTGGTCCAACTCTTACTCTGCCATAGAGTCAGAGAAGGTGAGATGTGACAGCCGCTGTTGTGTCGCAGGGGAAATTTACTTACCAGGTGCAGGGTAGAAGCAGTGTTTTCCTTCTGTGCAGCTTCTATGAGGGTAATCAAAAGTATTGCTACTAGGGGTCCACATGCATGGGCTTATTCCAAAGGAAACAGGTCTACACATGTCTCTGCGATCATTGGATAGGCACTTGTGTTGGTCGTGTTAGGATGGCATCAGGAAAACAGAAAGGTCCAATGTAAATAGTGGTCTCTGAGGGGCTCTGCTGGGCCAGTGAAATGCAAGGCAAGAGAGGTCAGCTCAGACGTTATATGAGTAACTGTCCTGTGGGATCACAAAGGGATCATCTTGATAGAGTCTCTCAAAGGACCCAGTGTGATTGGGGGCACATGGTCGGAAGAAATGTTAAGACAATTGAAAAATGTATTGGTGATCAAAAGGCCAGGAAAATTGTGCCCAGGATTCTTTTCCCCATCATGACGATGCACCATCCATCTTGTAATTTTGATCCTGCTCTTTCAGACTCCCATTTGTTCCCCAAATTCAAAGGACATTTAAAAGGAACATGGTCTGAATCCCTCAAGGATGCCAAAGTGTTGTTTTAAAGTAGTGTACATTGAGCACCACGGAATGATCCAGAGAAGGGTTAGGCAAGATGGCAACATGGCCTTCAAAAATGCATGGACGGAGAGCTTGTTAAGAATGAAGAGCTTCGTGTTTTGACATTTTTATTTAATAAAGGTTTCTGTGATTTGTGTAGCAGTACTTTTTGACTTATCATCACCTACCCATTTGGAAAGCAGTGGAGTGTAACTCACCAAAACAACAACAACAAAAAAAATAAAAACAAACTGGACAGTTAGGCAAGGTACTTCATTTCTGTAAGCTCCAGTTTCTCTATCTGAAAAATAGAATCCTATATAGTATTAATCTCTTTTAGGGTTGTTGTAAGAATTAAAGAAACCGATCTGATAGGGTTTGCAGAGTACAGTACCTGCCATGGTTCCGTACAAAATAAATACTGTATGATAGGAACAACAATATTAATCTCTGAAATTTTCACCTGGCTTGAAAACGTTCCTAGGAATTTTCAGTTTTTATCATGCCCAGGGGGCTCACTTGCTTGGCATAAACCTCATCTGGCCACCATCAGGCAGTCACATTGTATGGTTATTTCTGAAGAGGCAGTCCAGGCCCCGGAGACAGATAAACTAAGCAGGTGGGTTCACATCTCTGATTCTCCTCTCAGCTAGCATGTAGATGAGGAGGGGGTCAGGAGGTCAAGAAATCCCTTAGCAGTGGGGAGAATTAGGATTCCTCGGACCCTGGACATCCCTACTTTTTGCTTTTCTTTCAAATTCCCTTTCCGTTGCTGCTCCTGTGGATCTTGTATCGGATCTGTGTGTGTAGTTTATGGGGTTTGTGAAGGACGAAGGAATGTGACACTGGTGTATAGGGTTTGGGGGGCAAACTTTACTTATGATTTACCTCTGATGGGTGAGTGGACTTATTTCCTAAGAGGCTGTATGTATGTGTATATGTGCTTATGTATGTGGTCCTGTGTTTGCTTCTTGGCTTGGTGCTGCTGGAGGGCTAGGGGGAATCAAGGAATTGTCTTTGACCTGAACTTTGTTCATACTTCTTGGTGCTCTCTGAACTTCCTCAAAAGATGGAGGTCATTTCATCACCAAGTAATGCAGGAAACCCCGAGGACCAGAGACTTGCCTGTCATGAGTCTGTAAGTTTTCCCTTCTCGCCTCCCTGTGAGGATGTCCCCTGTTGAGGAGGTGGGGTTGTAGTCTTCCCACCTCTCCATCATTTCTCATTTCAGATGGCTTGCTGCCCTTCTGGGAACTTCTTTTCTGCTCATAAGGCTGGCCGTCCTCTGCCCTATTCCTTTAGCTAGGATTTACCGAAAATGGACTCTGCTGGAGATAGGGGAGGGGAGGTGGATTGAAGAGAAGAGTGTGATTCACCTCTATCGCTGGCCCCAGGCATCTCTCCTTTCCTGCTCATGTGCTAAAGCCAGTGCAGGTGGCTAAGTGTGACCTGTCTCTTTCTCCCCTCATCCCTCCGTGTCCAAGGTGGGCTTACCTTGAGAAGAAATGGCCTTCATAAGATGTGTTCTTGATTGTTTTCTTGTGATGACCCTTGACAATTATCCCAGCATGTACACACTGTCACAGCCAACCCTTTCATGCATCTCTACGTGGTCCCCTTTGTCAACTGGGCGGCACAGACTCCAGTTACTATTGCCTATGTTGTCTTAGCTGGACAGTCAACCCATCAGGAACATGACAAAATTTGTTATGCAATTGGGACGGAGAGAGACCTACGTGGGTTCTTTCCCCAGTAACCTGCTTTTCTGTTTAATTTTAAGATATAGAGAATCCCCTGGATACTTGTTACCGATGGGAGGGGCTTTGCAAGATCGGATGCCCTCTCTTCTGCCATCTTCTTTCCTCTTCTCTCTGACTGAGGAGCTCAGAGCCTAGTCTGAGCTGAGGGCCAGGAGACACCCTGCTGAGATTGTTGGCATATGCTAAGTGTTGCTGCTGGTAGTTGCTTGGGGCTTTGCCTGGATGTTTTAGGTGGAAAGGCAGCAGCCTGGTCAAGTTGGGTTGTGTATCCCCTTCATCTCACTGGGTAGTGGGTTTCTGACTTTGCTCTGGCCTTCCCTTTCCTGGGGAAGGAGGGCAGTTCTGTAGGCAAGCTAATCAGGTGGCTTGCCTTCTGTTTTAATTACCCCTGTACTTTTCATTTAAAGGTCTTGATTGTGATGACTTCTAGGAACCTCAGATGTTGAGGCTGCCTCCTTCTCTGACCCTTTCTCACTCCAGCTTGAGTTGTATGTGATGGGGCTTCTTATTAAAGTCTCTCTCTTCCTCTCCTAGGGTCTTCTGATTGCTCTACCGATTGGTTTCCATTTGAGGTAGGCCTCCCCCTGCCCCACACTGCTGGAGCTTTCTACTGGATTTTCTTACTTCCAGGAGCAGTAGGAAGGCAGGTGTCGAGGAACCAGCCAGGACATCTTGGACTCCCAGAACTGTATTCTGCTCGCCAGTGGCCAGCTCTTTGGCTTTCATCCAGCCCCTTTTCAGAAGCTCCCTCTCGGGAGCTGACCTGTGCCTCTCTAATTGTCCCTTCCAGAACACATCCAACTGCGCCCGGGAATGCTGCTGCACCTGAGAGGCTGGAGGCGCTGAAATACCAACGGATAAAGAAGCCCAAAAAGTCATCCAAGGGCTCTTCGAAGTCAAAGAAACGATCCGGTAAATGGTGGCAATAGTCCTGCTCCTCTTTCCGCCTCGCATTGCCGTTGTTTTGAGAACAGTTTGATTCAAGGTCTCAACCTTGGCCTTTCTCTAGAACTGAATGTCCACCAGCTTCTTTGGGTCTCTGTTTCTTTTTGAATGAAAATTGTCCAGTAATACGCCAATATATTT